TTGGAGGTGAGAGAAAATCCCCACAAGCACGGGATTTGGGCTCTTCTGCCAGGCTGGGCTGGGAGACAGCCAGCCAGGAAGGAACAAACTTCCCTGGTGGGGGCAGGAGCCCAGGTGCCCCAAAATGTCCCCAAACCTGGCACCAGCCCCAGGTCCACAAGCAGAGCGGTGAGGCTCGTCTGGGTGCTCTGGGTGATGCCTGGGCTGCAGTGCTTGGGGCTGGGGGCTGCGATGTGGGAGTGAGGCTGTCCTGAGCTCAGCTCAAAGTGCACAACCTGCTGGTTTCTCCCCCTCGTTGCTGTGCCCCCAGCTGAGGGATTTAATCTCGGTGTTTGTTGTTGGCGTCTGAGTTGTCCCTTTCTAAAAGAGCAGGGGAAAAGGGAAGGAAAACAAATGACTAAATATTTGTGTGTTTTTATTTCTGCCAGGAAATTAAGCTCTGGCTAACGGTCCCATTTCACTCGCTCTGGAGAACCTGTCCTCCGGGCTGCTGGGGCGATGAGGGGCTGATCTGGGGGCTGTGGGGGAGAATCACCCTCTGGAAACGGTGATGCTGCATGGAGAGGAGCGTGCCGGGATGAAATCCTGCGTGTCCCAGAGGGGCTCGCACCCCCTTTGCCCCTCCAAGCCAAGGTCCTGCCCTGCCATGGCTCTGGGAGCTCGTGGGTGGTCGTGTGCTGGGCACGATGCTCAGGAGAAACCGGCACCTCGCCTCCTTCTGCTCGTCCCAGTGCCATCAGTGCCCTGGGGATGAGGGCTCAGAAAGCCCCCGTGCTTCCCCATGTGCCCACAGAGCCCACCTCCTCCAGGACCCCATCACCACACCTCCTGCGCTGCCAAGCTGCAAGGAAACCTAATTAAAATCCGCATAACAGGCATGTAATCGTTGGAGTGTTTAACCCAAGTTTTGCCTCCGCCGTACCGACACCAGTAATTTCACAACTAATTACAAAGCACGGGAACGCCCGCCTCCTTCTCCCCTTCTCCTCCCGAAGCTGCGGGGCCCCAGCAGGTCTGTGGGGGCAGAGCTCGGCTGGGTGCTGCGGTGGTGGTCAATGGTCCCCGCAGGCCCCGCGTGCAATCACTGTAATTATCGGAGCGGTTTCATTGAATTCAGTCAGCTGCTCCTGTACTCGCCGTTAAGCGCGTGTAAATATTTGTAGGAGTTTCTCTTACGGCGTGAAAATACGACCTGCTCACCATCCATTAAGCCACGGGAGCGGATTTGTGGTGCAGGGGAACAAAGGTTCCTGGGCGAAGAGGCAAAGCAGGGATTCGGTGGTTTCAAACCTCTCCGCTGCTCTTTTCTTTGCCGAACCGCCTTGCCAAGTTTTGTTGAACTTTCCCTGGAGTTTGAAGGACGTTTCAGGATAACGCTCTCATTCACCTCCAAGAAGGGAAAGGAGAAAATCGCCCACGCTTTTCCCTACTTTTCTTTGCAATGAGGCAAATCGTAGAGGGTGAGGGAGGGGGTTGTGGATAGTCAAAGCCCCGGGCTCCTGAGGCTGCGGTGAGCGGTGTAAGGGACCCCGCCGGTCCCTGTGCAGGTCGTGGTGCCGCAGCCGTCAGCACACATAGCAGTCAGTTCCTGCGGGTGCTGCGAGCAGTTATTGTTCCTCTGCCCTCTGCTTTCCGCCTGGCGAGATGCAGGGCGTGCAGGCGGAGGAGGATTTGTGCCATTTGATGCATCAGCAAAGATCCTAAGTCCTCCGAGGGCCGTGCCTCGGAATAGCTGCGCCAGCAGCGAGTTGCTCTCAGCCGCCTGCGACCAGCAGCGACTTTCTGCTCACAGCTCCTGAGAGCTGAGCAGGGGCTTACACCCGGCTTGGGGTGGGTGAGCACAGGGGGTCCCTGGGGGCAGCATCCCAGGAGCATCGGGCTCCTGCAGGATCGCCCGGGCTTTGGACACCCCATTACCAGGGCCAGACAGGACTCTGAGATGGATACGTCCCCAGGCTGCCCCATGGGACACTTCTGTCACCTTCAGCGCTGGCAGGAGGCTGGGTTGGGGCTGGGGGATATGGGGGGAGCGAGCTGCAGCCCCCAGCCTGGTCGGGGGACGGGGGCTGCTCCCACTGGAGCCATGGGACCTGCTCGCTGCCGCATCCCCAGCGCTGCTGTGCGCGCACGGCGCTGCGTTGCCTGGACGACGCCGACTCCCACTCGCTGCTGTTTGTGCTGAAGGACACTTTCTCTCCTCCGTCGTTGCAAAACCCTCAGAAGATCGCGTGCCACACACGATTGCTGTGAGCTGACCAGACTGGCAGCCCCCCTCAGGAGCCGTGCCTGGGGCCGTGCCAGCCGGCGGGCAGCTGGGGCCATGGCTGGCATCGCCCCAAGGGCTGCGGCAGGCAGGTGACCCCGCCACCCTTGGGGTGCTGCTGGGGACAGCCTCGCGCTGCCCCAAAGGAGCCCTGGATGTCCCTGCCCATCACCAGAGGACTTGGGGGCCAGACCAAGCCTGGGGAGCGATGCCAGGAGCGAGGGACACCCCTGCCTTTGGGCATCACCTGGTGGCACCGTGCTTGGGTGCGGGGTTTCTGCGTGACCCTTTCAGAGGCAGGGGCCGTGTGCCGTGCGCTGCATCTTCCCCGCGTCCTCCCCACGCTGCAGGGAGCAGCCCCGGGGTGCTCGGGCACAGCCTGCGCTGGAGCCAAGCCCCACGAGCTGAGGGCTGGCCAGAGCCAGCCGTGGTGCCGCGGAGTGTTGGGGCTGTGCCACCGCTGCTGCGACTTGAGAATGTCATGAGCAAGCAGGAGGAAATGGGATGAGGGGAAAAATCTGCTTTCCTCGGGGAGCTGCCAATCCCAAGTACTGAGGACCGGTATTTTGTCTTTGAGAAGCTAAAAGACAACAGCTGGGATTCAGCGACAACCGAGTTTGGGCTGGTTTCATTTTCCTTCTCCTCATTCAGTGGCTATTAATAAAAGTGCATCATTTGCACTGCTTTCTCCTGGAGGAGCAGCCCGGCAGCGGAGAGCTTTTGGTGTGCGCATGTGCGCGCATGGGTGCTGTGGGCGCGCTGCTCGGGGTGCGCCTGGTGCTGGGGAGGTGCCTGGCACCCCTCCTTCCTCGCAAGGAGAAATTTTGCTTCAGAAGCTAGGCAGAGGCTGAAATTGAGCCTGGCTGGGGTGGCAGCAGGGCTGTGAATATTGCTAAGGTGATCCCACGTGTGATGCTCTCGCAGGAAGCCCGACCTCCTGGCTGCTCACCGGCTTTGCCCGCGGAGCTGCTGGCGCACAGCACGTGGGGACGTTCTTTGTGCCCAAATCCGATTACTTCTGCCCCGTGGGTTAGCGTGTGGCTCAGCTCCCAAAATCTCACAGGGGACAGGGCCACGGAGCTAGCTCAGGGTGAGAACCCCCACGCAGAACCCAAGGCAGAGGCAGTTTCAGCAGGAGCAAAGAGATCTCGGTGCCCCCAGCGCAGCCGTGCCTGGGGGGATGGTGCTGCCTGGGTGGGGCGCTGCACCCGGCCCAGCTGGCCTCTAAAAAAACGCACCAACAATGTATTTTGTGTGCCTTTTTTTTTAACATCTTGAAATTTTTCCTCCCCCAGCCTGAACTATTTTGGTTTATGTTGTTTGTTGCTGGCTCTTCCCTTTCTCCTTCTGCGCTCTCTCCGTGCATCGCCTTTTTCCTCCCCAAAATAAATGCTGTTATGCTCTGAAAAAATAGCCAATTAGGAAGAAAAAAGAAAAATGCTTTGAGCAGAAAAAGACTGTGCCTCAGAGTATCCAGGTCATCTCCATTGGCTTCATTTGCTCACGCACGGAGGGAGTATACAATTCTTCTGTCAACCAGATGCACATTTTGTAGTGCTCCCAATGACTTTACGGGGTACAGTGCTGTGGAGGATTAGTCTATTTAGCCATATAAAGCTCTCATTAACTCCTGCTGAGTTCGACAAAAGTCTTTCTTGTGTAAAAGCCGAATAAAACAGAGTAAAGATTTTTGGGCTTTGGCCTATTCCTTTTTTTTTTTTCTGAAAAAGCAAAAAGCCCTGCATATCTCAGGCGTTTTCCTTCCGTGAAACACTGCGCTTCACGTGAAATAGCATCACAGGGGAAGGCACGAGCTAGAGCAGCGCTTCTCACGGTAAGATATAACCGAGAAAGAAAGAGAGGTTTGACATGAAATAATGGTGGCACTTTACATCAAAGCAAAATTTAAAATAATTAACCTGCTGACAGTTCAGTGCGATTTCCAGCGATTGCGTTTATCCACGAGGAGCGCAGCGAAGCGGGCTGCCTGTCGTTCCCAGCCGCGCCGGGGGCTTCGCCAGGGGAAGGAGCAGCGCGGGCGCATCCCGCGCGGCGGGCGCACACCCAGCCCTCCCCGCGCCCGGGGAATCGCTGCTCCTTTTGAGTCACAGCGACCTGATTAATAAGAAGTGGGTTACACACGCCGAAGCGAGCGTTCGTGCGCTCTCCCTCACTAACTCATTGACTGGTTAGCGCCGCCGCCGCCTGCCGTGGGCTCGCACGAGGCGAGATCGCATCCGGCGCTCGGTGCCGGCGCGGCACGGCTGCTGCTCGCGCCAGTGGGTTCCTGAGCTCTGCGCAATCAAATGCAGGCTGCGGTGCACACACATGTCCTCCGCCTCCTCCCGCCTCACCTGAGCCTCTTGCGCACCTCAAACCCCTGAAATGAGGGATGGAAACGTCCCCTGGGCCAGCTCGATGGCTGCTCAGTGTTGGGGATGGAAGGACGTCCATCCATGGCTGCTCTCCCTGCTGCAGCTGTGCCTTTTGCATAACTCTCAGGATCTGAGCCGTCCCGCTTTGGCAGTGAGAAGGGGAGCGGGTGCCTGGGGCATCCCACATTGCTGTTGGGGGAGTGCTGCCTTGCAGCACTGATGGGGCTGGGGGATGTCACCAGGTTGGACGTGGCTGGGCTGCAGGGTTTCACTCCCCACTTTGGGAAGGGGGTCGCGGAAAGCCGTCCGTTGTGCCCGCCGTGCTCTTCCTCTCTCTAACACGCTCCACTGTCTGTCCGCAGGTCAGGTTGCCCGCTAGGAAGCCATGCTTGGATGTTGATAGCCATGTTCCACCTCGCCATGGACCTCGCCAGCTGTGAGCCCGTCGGGGTCCGGCTCTCGCCGCGGCCGGCGCACCGGCACAGACTGCCCCGCGGCGCGCTGTGGGGCATGGGCGGCACCGAGGAGCCGCGGCGCCCCGTCCCCCCCTGGCCCTGCGCCCCCCGCTCCCGCCGGCCACCCCCCGTCCCCCTTCCCCGCGCCAGGAGGCAGCTGCGGGGCCGCGGCTTCGCCCCCCGGGACGGGCGGCCCACGGCGCTGCCCGAGGTCATCGTTTGGGGCCCCACGGGCGAGGAGGACTCCCTGGAGAGCAGCACGCTGCCCGGCGCCTTCACCACCACCGCCGCCACCACCACCGCCGCCACCACCACCACCACCGCTGCCACCACCGCTGCCGCCACCACCGCCGCCGCCGCGCCGCCCCCCAGCAGCCCGGCTCCCACGCCCGGTGGCGAGGTGCCCCGAGGCAGCCCCGGCCGCCCCAGCACCGCCGAGCCGGCCGCCGGCCACAGCAGCGGTGGCAAGGACGCCCGCCCGCCCCGCGGCCTGGGAGACACCTCAGGTACCGTCTGGGGACTGAGCACAGCGCCTGCTGTTCCATGGGGAGGGGTGTGCTGTGTTGTGCCATGGTGCCGGGGGATGCCTGACCACGGAGAGGGATCAACAGTGTTCTTTGGCTGATTAGGGTGGTTTTTCTGGCCATTTGGGGTGGTTTGTCTGGCCACTTGGGGTGGGTTGTCCATCTGTCCTGGCTCCTCTGCATGTGCCAGAGGCTTGGGGTGCATCACGGCTTGGGTGCTGCGCTCTGCTCTGGATCCATCCTGAAACAGCCCTGGGTAGCGGAGGCAATGCTGGGGTCTGGATGCAGTGCTGAGAGGCACGACCGAGCCCTGGTGCATGGCAAAATCTCACAGGGGATGGATGGCAGATCCATAGCCAGGGGATCCTGGCACGGGGGTATCGTGGCACGGGCTGCCAGTGCGGAAACGCCGCCCGACTCCGAGATGAGCGATTTCAAATGAGCGCTCGGGAAACAAATGGAAGCTCTGATTCATCACTTTTATCTGAGACATTTTCTAGCAGCTTGCTGTATTCTTCCTATTATCAGTACACATCCACAAACCATCTTCCGTAATCAAATTTAGTGCAGCACTCAGTTACTGTAATGCGTTCCACCAGCACTATTTGCTGCACGGACATGGATGAGGAAGCAGGTTCCCATTTATTTCAAATTATATTTGTTATTACCAGTATTAAACTGTGGGATACTGTTGTACAGTTTACAGAATATATTCACTGTGCATTGACCGCTTTTAGCCCACGGTGATTTTCTAGTCAAAACGAAAAGGAATTTTACGATCTGATCGTAATCCTGATGAATTTATCTAGCACGCCCTGCTTGGGAGAAAGGGGAAAACCAACCAGAATGTTGTTCCTAACCTGAAGTTATTTGTGGTGGCGAAAAATCGCCCAACCCACACGCATCTTTTTGCTAATAAATGAATAAATAAGTAGAGTTAGAATCAGCTGGATGAATTAGCCGGGGAGCATCGATAATTCCCAGCACAAACCGCCGGCAGCCTGAGGTCCCTGGCGGGATGCTGAGCCTCACAGCCCCGTGCTGCGGCATCGCCCGGCCCCAGTCACAGCCTCCAGCACGGCCCCGGTGAGTGGGGAGCTCCCTGGGGGCTCCCACTGCTGCTCTGAGCTCCCATCGGGGCTTTTCCAGGATCAGAGCTTTTGTTAATGATCTTTCCCCTGAGTGGTGGATACAATAAACTCCTTTCCCGGGCTAAGGGACCTTCTTATCTCAGCCTATCCGCCCTAAATTGAAAAGTGCCTGAGCTCCGAATTTGCTTTTGTTGCCATTATCCATGCTAAGCACCCAGCGAGGTCTTGGAGGTGAGCGCAGAGCCCTTTCTTGCTGTACATCAAATCCCAGCGAGGAGGCTGCTTCGTCAGAGCGAGCAGCCCTGGTGAGCTCCTCGGGGGGAAGGCTCCGGCACCAGGCACCAAGGCTCAGGGATGAGGAGGAAACTCCTGTGCTGTGGCTGCGTGAGAGAAGACGACCAAAATCTCCACCAGGACTGCTGCTGGGGCAGGGAGGACACCAAGGAAAAAGGCATTTAACCTCTTAAAGCCTGTACTGCTGCCCCATGGCCAGCCTGGCTGCAGGGTGATGGCTCCTGCCAGGATCCCGCTGCTCCATGCTTCCCTTTGAGCACGAAATGGCAGGAGGGAGCTGCAGGAGGTTGGGAGCAGCGTGTCAGCAGAACCAGGGTCCCACTTGGCCCTTCAGCGTGGCGGGGAAGTGGCCAGCAGCACCCCAAAGCACTGGCCACGGTGCTGGCGGTGCGCACGTGGAAGCCCATGCGTCGTGCGAGCCCTGCTCCTCTCCGTTACATAAGCTCTGGCGGCTGGAAGTGTTTGTTCTCTGCCTGGAAAAACATATGGCTACAAATTAGGATTAGGTAACTTGTTTGTACTCTTGATGTGCCTCAGTGAACATCACAAATCGCCGTCCTGCAGCCCAGAGCAGTGGCACCACCGGCGGTACGGGAAGGCGAGGTGCGGAGGCACCGCGCTCGGAGGCTGCGGGGCTTCAGCCTCCCCGGGGCCAGCACCTTCAGAGGGGCTCCCACCAGCTCCCAGCCCACCAGCAGCACCCTCGCTGCTGTCCTGTGTGGTTTCGTATGCAGTCAGAGCGGATCAGCTGCCGTGGCACTGGTGGAAGCACTGCTTTTCCCCCTGCTGCCCTCCCTGTGCGCACCCACAGGGAGCCGCCACGCTCTGGGGGACAAAAGCTTTCTCCTTCCCTTGGTGTGGGATGACGGCTGAGGATGGGGACGTGAGTCAACAAAGTGACTGGGAGGGGAATGTTAATTCTCTCCAGAAATGATTTTAGATGGTAGGAGAAGCCATCACTCACATGGGCACAGCCATCGGATGTGGTGGGGACCTGCACGCTCGGCTCCCATCACAGCACCGCTTCCCACACTTCAGCAAACGTAGTGGTATTTGGTTAGGCAAGCAATTACAGCAATCCTGCTCAGGTTTTCCTCTCGCCCCACTCCTTCTTGGTTAAGAAGAGAGAAAAAAATAATAAGAAACAATCTTTATGTGACTCACCGGCAGAAAAACAAGCCTAAAAATTTCAGTGGAATAGCGAAAATCCTGCTTAGGAGGAGAAAAGATAGACAAGTGATTGCTGCTGGTGTCCAAAAAAGAAAAAAGGGAGGTAAAGCGCGGCTCTGTTTGTGGTGGGTGTTATCGTGCAAGATTTTTTTGCTGTTTTTTGTAGCAAGTAAACTGAAAATCAGGTGTGTTTATCCCTGTGCCACCTATGTCTGCTCAGCGCCTGGCAAGAGTGCTGATGGCAGTCAGATGGGGACTCAATATGTTCACCCATGCGTAGTTTATGCTTATGGTTTTCAAAAATGTGCTTCCTTTTTCGGGGGCTGTCATATTCATTTTACGACGGAGCATGTAAGGAGCGAAATAATTAAAATTCCATCGTGCAGCGGGAGGCAAAGGTTGTAACAGAGCTTTTGTCGCCGCGGCGGCGCGGTGCTGTCTGCGGGCTGCTGGCCTCCGCAGGAGCGAGGATCTGCTCTTCCTACGGGCTCAGCCAAAAAAAGAAAAGGAAAAGCGTGAATCAGGGGCTGTCAAAGTTTAAGCATGAATTGCGCTCGCGGAGTTGTCTGAGGCCTTCCTTTCGGTATTATTAGAATAAAGCCATCTTTAATTAAACCTTTAAGTGCTTTATAAGGCAGGAGGCTTTATGTGCCGTCTGCTGCTCTTAATGGCTGTTTGATGGCCGCTGCGCCCTGAATTTGGCACCGTGCGCTGCGCGTGGCGTGCTCCTGGTGTTGGTGCCAGTGGGCACCCCCTGGGGCATGGATGGGGTCGTGGGGTGGCGTGGGGCTGCGTTGGCATCCAGAGCACCAGCAGTGGCACTGAGCTGGCGGCTGCCCCCAGCACCCCCTCCCTGCACGCTGCTGGGAGCGCAGCGTGGATAAATGATGGCGCGGAGACGGGCGCCTCCCTGCAGGGAGGTGACCCTGCCTTCAAACAGAGGGGACGGGAGAGGGGGCGCTGGATGCGATGAGATAGCGCGTGCGAAAGGCTTCAAAGGAATTAATTAAAGATAAAATGCGTTTAAAAGAAAACCCTGGGCGGCCGGGGGGGAGCTGCTGCTTTGATCCGCCTGCAAAGGCGTCGGGAGCCGCCGCGGGCTCGGCCCTGCGGGGGCAGCGATGGAGGGGCTGGGGTGGGGGGCGTTTGCTGAGCGAGCACCTGCAGGTGGTGTGCCCGTGTCCCCTGGTCCTGGCCCTGCCCCACCGGGTCACTGGGAGACAGAGCCAGCACGGGCTGGGATGTGCTGGGGGGGGCTGCATCCCTGCCCCTCTCCTGGCCTTGCATTTGGGGATGGGGACTCTGGCAAGGATGGGCTTCTCCTCCCTTCCCGTCCTGAGGACTGGATGGGAAACCCATCAATTCCGCAGGATTATCAAGCTTTCAACTGAAATTTCTTCTCTAAACCTAAAATAGCTTCTGCTGAGCTGGAGGCAAGGGGCGTTTTGTTGGGCAGCCCGACCACCACTCCTGCAGGAGGACTCATCGGGGCTGGTGCCCAGCGGCGGGGCTGGGCAGTGCCATGGAAAGAGAAAAATCAGGAAAATCCATCTCTTCCCCTGTTACCGCAGAGGAACGGTCGATGTGTGTCCCACCCAGCAGCGTGTGCAGGGCCACCGTGTCCCCACCAGCCTGGGGTCTGTGTCCCCTTGCTGGCACAGCCGGGGGCCCACGGTGCCGCACCAAGGGGCACCGGCGAGGCACAAGAGCCGGGGCTGGTGCTTGTCCTGCAAGGTTTCCTAAGGAGGCTTCTTAAGGCCGGGCATCAGCTGCACAACAGCTCGGTTTTCCTTAAGGGTGGAGGACCTGAAAAAAAAAGCTGAGCCTTCTCTGACGAGGGAGAAGGGGCTGCTGTTTTCCCCGGGATTAGCAGATGTTGGGCGTGCTCGTGTGCCTTCCCCCACGTGTGGCTAAATGAGCCAGAAACGCTCCTCTCCTGCTCTCAGAAATATTTATTGCTTGGTGATACTGGCTGTAACACCTGAGCAGATAAGTCCCCGTGTCTTTAGCGTAAGCCTCCAGGATCTTCTTTCTTGGCACGAGCATTTCCGAGCAGCAGCAGGATGTTCTGCTCCTTTCCACGGTCCCACTCAAAACGCCAGGAGGTCTCCAGGAGCCGTAGCTTTTGGTTGCTGAAGAGCCGCGCTTTAACTCGGGGATTATTGGTGCTCCCTCGGCAGGGTTTCGGAGCTGATGGGGGTGGTTTCGCAGCCCTGGCCCCGGGGGCTCCCCAGCAGGGCTGGGGGCGCAGCGCAGCATCCCCGGGACAGCCCCGGCTCTGCTCTGCTCTGCGAGGGGCTGAGGTGTCAGCAGGAGCCGAGCCAAGGACATTTCCCAGCACACCGGGTCAGCCCTCTCGTTTATCGGAGATTATTTTTCTTAAAAGCTATTAAGCAGCACCGTGGGTAGAATTATGGCAAAATCACG